ATATCTACATATGTATGTACTAGGGATGTTTCGAATGTCATATTTTTCACATTCGCGAATGCTATACGCAAATTGCCTAGTGGATCTGTACGAGTACAAAACGCCAATGACATTTGTTAAGAAAAGTGTATGGGAGTTAGGNAGTAAAATTAGTGGTAAACATGACAAACATAAAATTATATTGTACAAATACACACATACATACATACCTATAACTGTACGTACCTAAATATGTTGCCGTTGATAACACCAATTGGCTGAGATGCGGTGTTATGCATGCTCACTAAGCCAACTGGGTAGCTGGGTTAATTATCGTCGTTTGTGCGCACATATACATACATACATACATATGTATGTATGTAAGTATGTAATTAGGCATTTTGCCCAGCCAAGCCAGACTTACTGCCCCATTATTAAAATGCACAACACTTCGGAGGAAAATAACGTACATAACGGACACACAAATNTGTTAAGAAAAGTGTATGGGAGTTAGGTATGAAAGACCAGAGTACTCAGTCATACTTTATGTATAGGAGGAATGCGGTTCGTGTTGTATGCAAGTCCCGTTGGGTTTGACTCCATGCGGACTACTTTTAGACAGATGGGCTCCTTGGGATTAACGAACGTTGGGCATAAGCCAGGGTATGTACGACTCCAAAATTGAACCAGAGTGAACCAGAGATAGCCAATGGTTCATTTTGAGCTGATAAAGCCGCGGATCTTAATTTTGGCGCGTGTATTGACAGGACATAGTCACATTGGTATTCATGACAGCGATTGATTTGGTTTTTCCAAAAAGGTTACAACCGGTTTTTTTTCAGGCGTTTTTTTTTTAATCTTGATACCGAGTAAACTGGATTTTTACAATCGAATAAACCGGGTTTTCACCTAGTTTATTTAAATATACACCAAAATCTATAAATTCTAAATATTTAGTTTATTGCAAAGGGAACTAGTTGAACATTTTTATTAATTTTATAACTGCATACTGAAAAATGTATTAAAAAACAAAGAAAATCGAACCAAAATTGTTCACTGTTTTTTTTTTTAGTTTTAGCTGCTTACTAAACTCTGTCTGAATAATTGAATCGACTACACCCTGTCTTCATTCTCATCTAACGGCAGGCTTAAGTAAAGGCCTGATTCAACGGGTCTAGGCCGTAGGAAGAGAGACGTTAGATGAGCTGATGTGAATGGGCATATAAAGAGGTGGCTGGTATAGTGGGGCATCTTATCGGGAGTATCGCGAGCCTCACGAAGCAACTCGAGCTCTTTTTCTGTGATAGGTGACATTTGTCTCTGATGATGGAATTCAAGAGGTGAGAGTTGACGAAGATGTTGATTGGTTCTCGATGAATGGTCTACCTATAATATACTATATTTGTGTAGTCGGTTTGGTTCAGAGGATGGCGTATTCTCATTCCCAGGACAGTGGGTTCTACATGTTCGAGTTTTTCCCGAAAAAAGAACGGTTATTTTAGCGATCTAATCCTCTTACGATCGGCCAACCCGATTGCGTGTGAATTGTTCCCTAATTTTTCCTGTTTGACTTGTAATCCAAAATACTTCGAACTTATTTTGCCTTATATCTAAATTAAAGCCAATTTGGAGGAGTCAAATTTTAAATTTGCTATGATTGCTGACTAACAGTATGAGTAACTCTATTCTTATCCGTTTTTTTTTTTTTAATTTGAAAATGGGGAACCGGGTTTTTTTCAAATTACGATTTTTTGAATAACTCAAAAACCGGTTTTCGGAGAAAAGCGAATAATCGAACACCCTAGTATGCTACCAATTCAACCTTTTATATAATCTGTAAATAGACAAATTTATACCTAAGTACATACAGTTCCAGAGCGATTTCATTGAATAGCGAAATTTGGGCATCGGATTCGTTAAAAAAACTGTGAGGAGAAAAATTAATTGCGTTAGGGTATTCCGGCCAAAAAAAATCATTGTGGTTCTTCACACTTGCCTGGTTATCTGGTTATATGATTATATTTTTAATTCAGTTTATAACAATAAAATACACAAAATAATAAAAATGTTGAACCAGACAACCTGATACTGATTATCAAATGTGAACAACCACATTGAAAGTCTAGAGGACGCTTCCGGTGTATCTTAATAAGCGCAATGTATGAATTGGTCCACAAATTATGTAGAGCCCAATTTACCAAGCCCGTTTTCCTGAAAATACATATTTCTTAAGCGAATAACTTCCATGATTTGTAGTGAAAATAAAACACTTCGACAATTTAACGGTGACAAAATTTACTATTTTTTTATTGTTTTCATATTTTTTTTTTGTTGTTTCCTTGTTTGTTTCATATACAAATAAAAACACTTACAATCTAATGATGCGTTATAACATTTTTTGTTGTTTTTGCTGTTATTGTTGTTGTTGCTGTTGTTTACACAAACAAACAAAAAATTCAAAATTATTTACAAGAAAATTAAAAAAAAAAAATAAACTCAACAAAACACACCCACCAAAAAGTTGGAAATGGGATATATTTTCTTCTTGGTGGGCATGTTGAAACAGCGGGGGTCATATAGGATAGCCTTTTGAAAATACTTTGGAGATAGTTGGGGGGGCGTAATGGACTATATGAAAGAGCGAGATCGCTTGAAAAATGAAAACGAAATATCACTGACGGCCCACACCACCACACACCGGCCACAACTGCACCACCCTAAAATCCACACAACGGAAACCATTCCACGATTGCGGTGCAGTGTGTTGGTGCTGGTTGAATGGCTAATTGGTGTTCGGTGTTGCAGTGGAATTAGAATTACCCTACAAGTTGTTGATGCGTGTTTTAGCGCAGGTCGCTGCAGAGCTAACTGCTGCTGTTGTTGCTCCAACGTTGTTGTTTGCGCTAGCTAGCTAGCTAGCTGGCTGGCTGGCTGGCTGTGTTCTTGATGGCAGTTGTGGTGGGCGGTGCTGCGTGAGTGCGGGCCACAGCATGAAATCGAAATAAGAAAATCCTGTAGAATGTTTCGCTATTTTCTACACGTCTCTATTCAACACATGTTTCGAGACATTTAGTCACAGCAACAAATGCGCAACAATGTTGCCACAGACAGCAGAGCAACACTGCGTGCTTTGGCTGTGTTGGCTGACTGTTGCGTTATTGTTGTTGTTGCTAATGTCGCTTCTTCATCCGTGATTGTCTAATTATCCATTGAGTGGCGTTGTTGATGTTGTTGTTGTTGTGTCTGGCATTGTTGTTGTTGTTGTAGTTGCTGTTCATTAACGTTATTTTCGAAACGCTTTCACTTTCAGTTTTTGCTTTCATTGTAACCAATGCTTCGAATCGCCTCATCTTCATCATTCGTTTCTATGTATCTTCATCTTCTGCTTCATCTTCCTCTTTTTCAACTTCAATTTCATTTATTTGGCAGCGTGTTGTTTGTTTCATTGATTGATTGGTTGATTATTTCATTGTTTGCTCATTGATTGGCATATTGATTGGCTGAGGATCGTGGTCTATAAATGTATCTTTTTCCTTTTTGTTACTCATCTACCTGGTCACAGACGACCGACGACGATTTGTTTTTAGCTAACATTAAAACGTAATTAAAAACGACACACATCCTGCACCTCCTTAGAAGGGCGCGCCATAGCTGCCACTTGGTCTCGATGGGGCACCATACGAGCCAGATGGTGCGCTTGGGTAGCCGCCAAAGCCGCCACCACCGCCAGCTTGCGTGCTCTGTTGTGCGAATTGCGCCACTTGGATGGCCTGGCGTACACCCTCCAAATCGATGCCGACTACACGGCCGCCACCGCCACCGAAGCCAGGCGCACCATATGACGATGATGGTGGTCCATATGAGCCGGACGGTGGGCCGTAGGAGCCGGATGGATAGCCACCGCCGCCACCACCGCCACCGCCGCCTGAGCTGGATTTGCTCTCCTCATTCAGCAGAATTTGGCGCACTTGTTCCAATAGCTGAGGATCGACATTCTGGCCTTCGGATGTTTGGAAGCCACCGCTGACGGCTTGATAGCCGCCGCCGCCGCCGCCACCACCACCGAATGAACCACCTCCTAGTGAGCCACCACCAAAGCCACCGCCGAATGAGCCACCGCCACCGCCGCCTCGCGGATAATTATATCCTGATGGTGGTTCCGCAACGACCAGTGCTGCCAATGCAAACACCAAGAACTGCAAGAGAGATAGAGAGAGAGGGAAGAGAAGGGTAAGAAGCGCGTTTAATCCTTGTTAAGTGTCGTAGTTTGAAATGATTTTCCGAAAAATATCCTTTTAATGCACTTTGGCTCACATTGAAACAAATAAATTTTTCACTTTTCACTTTTGCTGCACATCTGCTTGTTGCTGTTGTTACTTACCACGGAGAAGGAGTTCATAGTTGTGAGTTTTGTGTGGGGGAGAGAAGTAAAACTTAAATTAAAAAATTAAATTTAGTTGTTTGCTTGTAGGGAACCAACGACTGAATGCCTTGCCATTGCCCAGTATGGCCTCTTTATACTCACTTCACAAAGCCCAACATGGCTTGCGATAAGCGAGCTTCGTTACTCCACTGCTTTTGTTGTATGTACATATTGTCGCCGTCCGACTCAGCTGCGCTGTGCGCATGCGTTGGAGGTGGTGATCAACAAGCAGCAAGCGCAGCAACCAAGTCGACCGACAAAACGAGCATGTAACGATGCCCCAACGTCCAACCGAAGCAGCGGATGAGCTTGTGACCCCACAAACATAAAAACAAATTAACGAGTTTTCGCAGCGCCTCTGTTGGCCAAACGTCGATGCTCCGACCTGTAAACGTATTTTGGCTAGTTTTTTTTTTTTTTTTGCTTGTCTCTTTGGTCGATTCTGTATCAACACTCGACAACTCGATCATTAAGCCAATGGTGATCGTAGTTTTGAGAATCATCATGAACGTCTGTGGCGCGCACAATTAGCTGAATGCATTTAGTTCCCCAAAACCATTAAGTTTTTTTTTATAAGTTTAGGCGTTAAAATTTTTTTTTTCATCTGGTCANCAGTATGGCCTCTTTATACTCACTTCACAAAGCCCAACATGGCTTGCGATAAGCGAGCTTCGTTACTCCACTGCTTTTGTTGTATGTACATATTGTCGCCGTCCGACTCAGCTGCGCTGTGCGCATGCGTTGGAGGTGGTGATCAACAAGCAGCAAGCGCAGCAACCAAGTCGACCGACAAAACGAGCATGTAACGATGCCCCAACGTCCAACCGAAGCAGCGGATGAGCTTGTGACCCCACAAACATAAAAACAAATTAACGAGTTTTCGCAGCGCCTCTGTTGGCCAAACGTCGATGCTCCGACCTGTAAACGTATTTTGGCTAGTTTTTTTTTTTTGCTTGTCTCTTTGGTCGATTCTGTATCAACACTCGACAACTCGATCATTAAGCCAATGGTGATCGTAGTTTTGAGAATCATCATTAACGTCTGTGGCGCGCACAATTAGCTGAATGCATTTAGTTCTCCAAAACCATTAAGTTTTTTTTTATAAGTTTAGGCGTTAAATTTTTTTTTTTCATCTGGTCCCTTTTGGCGCTATACATATAAGTGGAGAATGCAACATTTTATTCGTTTTTGATGTTCATCATTTACGGCTGATGGCGGATTGTAATGTTTGCACTCTGTTGGCTTATTGTTTGGAAGTGCGTGTGAATGCATTACCGTTTTGTTTTAAACAAAGTAGAAAATATGTTTTTTGTTTGGGAAATGTGCAGGCAAATATTTTTTAAAACTTTTGCCACACAATATCGTTGTTTACCAGGTGTCGGCGACTGTTTTGAAGCATCATTTTCAGAAAAAGCGTATAATATGTTCAATAGGGTGAATCCCTCTCCATAAAAAAAAATAGAATTTTAATTTTTTTTACACTCGTTCGTTTTAATTCCGTTGGTAAAATGTTCAAACATTATAATGCAGACCTTTTAAGCTTAAACTCTTCTATCATCTGAGGTAATTTTTTGGAAAAAAATATTTTTAAAAACTAGTTTTATTTATAACAAAACTCAATGTTTTTTGGTGACGGTGTCAACTATCTGAGAACTACTCTTAACAGGATATTTAGCTGGAGCATGTATCTGGATAAGGCTCTTACTAAAGATAGACGGATCAAGGTGAGGGCGAATTTTTGGATACCCTCTACGACCTAACTTAAGGATACTTAAACCTGGTGACTAGATGGTCTGCGAACTGTGGAATTGATATAACTACTAGTAAAACGGAACTAGTTTTGCTTACTACGAGGTAAATGGTGCCCACGCCACTCCTTACTCGATCGGGAGCATTCGCGTGGCGCTTTCTGACAGGGTCAAGTACTCAGGCTTGACTCTTGATAAACAGTTTCACAGGCGCAATAACTAAGAAATTGGCCATTCCTACAAGGTTATTTCCGGGTTCTATGAAAGCATAGTTAAGACCATTATATTTAATGGAGTCCTCGTGTGGTGGGAATTCACTTCAGAAGCAAAGAAGCAGTCCTCATTAGAATCAATGAAGCAATTAGCCCATTCCCAAGGAGCTTAATATAGCGCCTATCGATATCGCAGGAAGAGATGCTGGAGCAGGGGCGGCAGTCAGACTTAAGGGCACAAGTTGCGTGACTGACCCGGGGTCTGGACACTCTAACATTCTCGGCGGTTTCGATTTCATCCCTGAAACGAAGGAGTGGGAGACTTCCTTTGAGAGTTCTCTTGACTATCTGTGAACTTCTCTTGTAAAGATCAAAAAAGAATCAATTCAGCGAATGATGCGGAAAAATCAGTATATGTGCCATCGTTCCTTCTACATCCTGCAATGGTCGTTAAACCTTTTACCTATATAATATTTACAAGTACATACATATATGAGATTTCTGAAGAGTAAGTAGGAAATACTTAATCCAGGAAACATTTCCATGCTAAGGTCAAAATTTTCGTTGTAATTTATCTTCGCCTGAACGATGGGCTCCTCATTATTACATGCATTTCCAGGAAACCCATTGATCGTGCAACACTGCATGCAACTACAACAAATAAGCATGCAACCCAGCGACCTAATCAAATATCCAACAACTGCGATTGGTTCGTTAGTAAAAATAAAAAATAAAAATCTGCTTGGTGCAAAAGACAAAGCCGACTGCACTGGAGGGTAATGTGTGATTGTACTACTTTTCAATTCAATTATCAACTTAAAGTTCCAACGGCTCGAAATGGCAAATAAACATTACATAAGAATACAGGAAACAAGCGAGATGATACGATGAAAAGTTGCTTTGCGACGCCGGCGAGACGGTATGGACAACGTTTGACGACATCGAAAAAAAGACGCCACAGAGATGACAGAAATCACCTGCAGCCACAGCAGCAATGAAACTAACTAACAGCAAAAACAAATAATCGTTGCAACATCAGCCGGCATGGACGAGTCAGCCAGCAGCTGTGGCAGAGGAGTTGAGCATGAGTTGATGATGTGTTTGTTAGTGGCTGCATCGCCAACATGATGATTTTAATGTTTCCTATCCAACCGGTAAAGTATCGCCATCGTGTTGTAGCAACAATAAAAATATGCTGGCTGTTGCTAACTCGTAGCCGTGTCTGTTGCTTGCCATCGCTTCTTGCCGCTTGCCCAATTGTGCCATTCGTCGTTTCGTAAAAGTTGTTGGGCCACTGCCACTTGAAAACAATGAACAGCTGTGAGTCTGGTGACGACGACGACGACGACGACGACGACGACGACGATGGTGCAGACGTTGGTCTAAGTTGGTGGTGGTCTAAGCTGTATTCCCGCTTTGTACATGAAGATGACAACATCGTTGGCAACACACAATTGTGGCAAATTTTTCTACACACAAAAATAGCGAAAAAAATATCAAAAATTTTACTATGAGAAAGTTTGCGGCGGTGCGAAGATTCGCAAAATCAGAAATATGGCCAAAGGCGCTGAATAACAGTAATTAAGTGTAGTAAAATTATCTTATGTCGTTGATGATTTTTTACTTTTTCTGAAATTTATTTTGCAAACTTTTTAATTATGTGCCTTTGTGTTTTAATTTTGCTATTTTCTGACCGAATGCGTGCGGTTTAATTTCTTACGAACGTTTTTGGGTATTCATATGTGCATGCAAATGTATTTAGCTAGTGTTGTTTCTTAAGCAGGCTTTACAATTTATCTGCCCTTCAAACGTATTATATTTTTCAGAACAAAATTTATATCTAAAGGACAGGAAAAAAATTTAAAACCTGCCCTTCGGTGGAGACCTGGAATCGGTTTGCCCTGTTCTTCATATCGAAAACTTCCGCTGCGCCACCGTTGGAATATTTGTAAAATAGTTGAGTGTCCAGCGATGACTCCGGTAAGAACTTTTACTGTGGATTTGCTTATCTTCAAAAGTTCCTTAGTCCGTTTCTTGTTAAGCTCCTGCCCTAACGACCTTGAGATTTCACAGTAGTATCGGTTAGCTCATTGATGATTTGTTACGGATGTGAAAAGACAAGACGAGCGACCGATAAGGCAACAGCAAAGAACAGGAAAAGTTGGCTTAGACGCTTGAGAGTGGTAGGGCTTACTATGCCACGAGGCAACAATTTCCATCGTCAGATGTGAACGTGAGGCCAAGCGGCAGAAGTCTACAGAAAGCAAGCCAATGAAGGCAGACGTCAGGCGCGGCAATGAAAGACAAACAACGTTTAGAGCAGCGGCGGCAGCCAGTAAGATTGCTAAAAGTCACGTAATTGTTGTACTCATTTATCGCAGTAAACCGCTAGGAACAACGGAGGGTAGTCGAGGTTAAGTTGCTAGACGCCCTCTTGTTGAAAATGGACGCTGAACCAAACGCACCTATGGTAACTTTTAATGGCATATAAGTATGCTGCCAGGTCTCTCTTTTGCTCTCTGCCTTTAGTGTTTGGTGGAAGCAGAATTTGATTCCTCATCGCGCACTACGATCTTTCCGGGAAAGTGGTTAGACGCCCGTGGGACTCACTCGAGCACTTCTGACCCTAAAACCATTTTTCCATATGATTGTTTTCTCTCTCTATCTTTACTCTTTGTATGAAATTTTCTTTCTTTTAATATGAGTATCATAAAATTTTTTTTTTT